ATACTGCTCGGTCCCATCGCCGTATCGGCTCAAATGCATAGGCAATTGCACTTATTATGGACTTAACAGTGCTTTCAATGTAATCTTCCTCCATTTCAAAACAAGCGTGTGTTCAAAATGTAAAGAAATGCTTCTATTACTTCACTGGCCATCGGAGCGAACCAACCCCGTGACGTCACACGCGGTGGTACTGCAAGATGGCGGCGCCCTTGCTCTAAAAGCTATAACAAAACAACCTTTTTTCTTTAAAATGGTTACATTAATCATATTTGTTATATATTTTTTAATCAAAGTGGAAATCACTTTACTAAATAATGTAAACTTGACTGACTGCTTCATTTCCACTTAAAAACCCATGTATAACACATTTAAATACAAACTATCAGTAAATGAATGCTTTTAACCATGAATGTGCTTAGATTGCACAATGAATCAAACTACTTGTTCTAAACTATTCTTGTTTCATTGCTTATTGCACTACCATTCAAAAGTTTGGGGTCAAAAGGAAATTAATACATTTATTCAGCAAGGACACATTAATCAAAAGTGAAAGTAACTGCTTTTACATTGTCACAAAAGATTTCAAATGAATGATGCTCTTTTTGAACATTCTACTCATCAAAGAATCCTGATAAAAATTATACATTTTGACAATTATTTGGCAGCTCAACTGTTTTCAACACTGATAATAATCAGAAGTTTATTGAGTAGCATATTAGCATATTACTGGAGTAATGATGGTGAAAATTCAGCTTTGATCACAGCAATAAATTGCATTTTAAGTTATATTCAAATAGAAAACAGTAACTATTTTCAATTGTATTAATATTTCAGAATATTACTGTTTTTACTGTATTTTTATTAAATAAATACAGCCTTGGTGAGCATAAAACATCAGACAATGTCACTGTTCCCAGTCTTTTGAACAGTGGTGTATATCACCAACTTCAACTTCAAATTTTGGTCATAAATGTGGGCTAAATGGGTTTATCGAGTAACATATTCACAGGGGTGTGAAGTAACGAATTACAAATACTCACATTACAGTAATTAAGTAGTTTTTATCAGTAATTGTACTTTTTTGAGTAGTTTAAAAATTGTGTACTTTTACTTTTACTTGAGTAAATTTTAAGTGATGTATCGGTACTTTTACTCCGCTATTTTCCTCCGTTTGTGGTCGTTACATGCTTATTTTATTTTTATCCATCAACGTGATTGGCTAGAGAGATAGTAATAGGTCTCGTGACTTTCGTCAAATCAAATTGTGCATAGAAAACTTTAACCACCAACTGTTTATCATGGCTGCTGGAAGTGCATTCTTCAAGCATCAATTCAGTCGCATCTTCCTCTGACTTAATGTTACAGTAAATTTCGGTTTTCTGCTTACTAAATGATTTGTATATATGCTTTAGAATCCACAGCTCAGTACTCACTACTCAATACTCATGAGTACTTTTAAATAGGCTACTCTTTTACTCTTACTCAAGTAGTTTTTTTGGACAAGTACTTTTACTCTACTCACACTACATTTTTTGGAAGGTAATGGTACTTTTACTTGAGTATATTTTTTCAGTACTCTTTCCACCACTGCATATTCATCACTGAGAGCTCAGGTCACACAAATAGGCACAAATTCCAGACAGGAATTATAATTTCGCTCAGGTTTGAATATTCAAAAGTATTGTAAAAGTAATGTCTTTTAGAAGAGCTGAACACTTTTAGATATAAACCCAGATGGTGTTTTTCTCTCTTTCAGAGGGGCTCAGAAATATCGCCATGGACTCCAACTCTTTAGCGATGCCCATGTCAGACCCTAATGCTTGGGCGACTGCCATGAACAACCTCGGGATGGCCCCCATGAGCATGACTGGACAACCTATCATGTCAGGTAACTCACTACACTGTACAATGGCATTTCAATCTTTTAATTTATTTATTTATTTATGTTTAATCACATAATGCACTACAAAAAAAGTCGTAAACTTCAGTGCAAATATAGCTTTTGGACATATTTCAAAGATGCTTGCCACAAAAACAAATCCAGCAGCTAGTTCTCTCTCTGAAGTGTAGCCTAGTATTTCTGTCTACTGAAATGTTGGATATCGTGAAAACACTTGCTAGTAACATACTTTTTTCCTGGCAGACTTCCACTCTTTTGCTGAGATATATCTGTGGAAAAGTCTGTTCTTATTAGTTTTAGATGGATGAAAATTTGGAACATTTTCCCAGTCATTTTGTGCTGATATCAGTGTTATTTTAGTATTATCTTTTATACTACTGTAATATTTATTGATGATTTGAATTATCGTTTATTTTTAAATATTCAGTGTTAATTTAATTTTAATTTCTGAAATTGTCAAGTGCTTTTGCCATTATTATTATTATTAGCTTTAATTAATATTTCTACTTAGCTTTATTTATTTTTATTTGTTTATACAGTTTTAGTTACACATATTTAATTTAGTTAACAGCTCAACTTTTCTAATTTTCATTTCAAGTGCAATTTGTTTTTTATCTTATATTTATATTTTATCTCATTTCTTAATGTCAGTTAACAAAAATGTTTTTAATAGTTTTCGTTTTTTGTTAACAACACTGGCCTGTGCTGTCATGGAAACTGCAGTGTCATTATTTGAATCAGCTAACACTTTGTTTCACACCGCTCTGTTATTTTGCTGTCAGATTTCAGCTGTAATCATCAAATAAAAATAGAACGATGGACTGGTTGTTTTATGTTCCGGTTCTGTCTAAATGACCTGTTTTTGGATCAAATAAACTGCAGTGTGGACCAGACTGCAAAAGATCTATGTATGTTTGCTGGTCTGCCTCCCTGTGCTGCAGTATTAGCCAGAGACTTAGGCTGATGCATCCTGTGGGCCAGAAGCAGAGCGTTCGACTGAGTCAGCAAGAGTGTGAAAGTACCAGTGTGAAAACTTCAAACACATTCCCACAGTGCTGTCAGAGTGGCCAATTAGTTTCAGGGCTTTTTCATCTCATTGGTTAGTCGGCAGCAAAATGCAAAGGAACGGCTGTGTGACGCTGGGAGCAGAGGCTGCGCTATGCCAGCTGGATGAAGCCGCAGAACATCTCAGCTGGTGCGCATGAGTCACTTAAACCTACACATCCACTGCACACATTTCAGAACTCGTTTCTCTTTCGCACCGCATCGTTTATTAGCACGCGCGAAAGGTGAGCGATCCAAAAATGCCATTGAAGCGTTGATTTAATTCCAGGGAGATTACAATGAAATGCAACTGCAAGACGGATGGATTTTCATTACGCTCAAATGAAAACACTAGAGGGTCATCCGACAGGCAGCAAACATCTCATTTTTGTTCTTTCTTCAATTTCATTCAAAATGATGGGCTGCATTTATCAGTATAAACACAGTTTATACGGGCATGTCTTTTTTTCCCCCGGCTTTTAGAATTGATTCTCTATAAGGTTTCGCAAATCACCTCCTTTGTCTTATTTAAAGTCCCAGTTGGAGATACATATGCACGGGTGTAGCCCGCTATAGACGCATGTTTCAAATGAAGTGGGCTGTGGGGATGCTCTAGCCACCTACGCTATTTTCCTATCAAATTTCATTTGCACTGTTTACGCGGCCACCACGCGAATGTCTCGAGCTCCCATTTTGCGAGATCACCGCCCGAGACCAAATTATGGAGTTTGCCTAGCGGTTTATAGACTGGTATTGGGAGGAGAGAAATGCTGATGGCAGTTTTATGTCAGAAAGACTATGGAATGAAACGGCTCTTAGTGCTGTTAATGTGTCCTGGCTCCCAGGAGCTTGCTCCTCCTTTACTGTGGGTCTTTTATTCTAATCCGTCCCGCCACAGGGAATTCTGGGAGCCTTTTTGCCTCCTCTTGCTTCCTGTCTGGCAGAGACTGGAAGAATACAGATGAAGGCCTTGAATCAGGGCGTCACAGCGGGTCACTTCTGCGTATAGATATTTCTCCACTTTCCTCGTCCCGTATTCTTTCCTTGATTGTCATTGATTCCTTAGCGGGAAATCATATAAATGACGCAGCCTTTGATCTGAGCTTTTTGCTGACCCGTCCTTTCCACCGTGCTGCGGGGAGAACTGGGCTTGCACGATGTTGTTATGACCCGCTCTGTTCAGCCGGCATTGGCTCCGGCTGTGTTTTGATTGGAGGCGCAGGGAAGAGGCAGTACTGTCTGCCTCGAATCGTACCTCATTAATCACACAGAGGGAGCAGCTGTTGCCTCCAACATCCTAACAGTCTCCCAAACTAAACTCACCACAAACTCCATTCCGTTCCTGTACTTTGCCACTTCAGCAAGTTGTGTGGAGTCATACGGTTATGAATATGACACTGAGTAGTCCATTCAGCCAGCCAGCCAATCAGTCCTGCCTCAATTACGCACAGCTGATGCTATTATAATCAACAGAGATAAAGTGTGTTTCTTTTCAAATTCAGAGCGCAAACTTTTGAGCAACTGCAAGGATTGTTTAATTATAGCTAAAGAAATTTTACCTTCAATATTTATCTTTCTAATATTTTTTTTTCCAGTAAATAAAAAAAAAATTTTAACAAGAATTTCAACCAAACCGCAATTGACACCAGTTAGCCTTTTTTATTATTTCAATATTTTTAAATAGCAAACATAATGATTAGGGGTGCTCCGATCAGTCTGCCGATATCGATCACCGATACCGATCTTTTTAAAGCCTTCTTTTTATCGTGTAGAATTATTTATAGTGATGATCCAATCAAGATTTTTAGACATTTATTCAGGGCCTGAATTTCATTTTTGAAAATGAATTTCCCTCTTAGATGACTCTTGTGAGAGGGGATTTTTTTTTTATTTGAGGGGTGGAGGGGGGCATTTTTTAGACATTTTTCAAAAATATATATTTATCTCACGTTTGATCATGCACTGCATTTTTGTTTTGACAATCGTGCAATTGTTGCACAATAGTTTACACACAGCACAAGCCTGATTTCGTGAGCTGTATGTGAGGCGGCTTTTATGCCAGGTTCACACATACTCCGTTTGCAGTGCATATGCACTCCATGTGTGGTACGTAAGCGGCCCAGAAGCAGCACTGACTGAGCTTTCACACAGGAGTCTGCAACTGATCCGTGGCTGTTTACTACAAACACAACATTTATCCATTATTTTATTATTTTTTTTATACATTATTCAGTAATACAATCTTTCATAGACGTGTTTAAACGCAATAAATATAAAAAATGCATTATTCAATGCTTTTTACTTTTGCATTTACTTCAAGATTTATATATTAAGTTGCTCAAGCAAGTGGCAAACCATTTAAACTACTTTTCTTACGTTATCACAAACATTCTGAATTAAAACTTACGATTGCATTTAAATCTTTATTACAAGCAATCCTGCGGTTCATAAAGAACTTTGTTTTACTACCTCCGCAAGTGCCATCTATTATTGCCTTGTTTATCTAAAAGTGCTTTAAACCTTGTCAAAAATGTTTGTGTTGACTGTGAAACACAGTAGACTTTAATTATATGCATTTACGGTGTAATTACCACATTTTCGTGTCAATCCATGTTCATATTTACCGCAAACAATGCGCTGTTACTTTAATTCAGCGCTTGCAGCACAGCAAACATAGACTCGGTGCGGAAACGATCTCTGCACTGCTGCAGACACACCGCTCCTGGAACGCACTGCCGGACCGCAACCGTGTGCAGTGATCGCTTTATTAATCCGTTAACATGAGCGCGGAAAAAAATACGCACCACATACGCACTGCAAATGGAGTAATGTGAACCTGGCGTTATGTGTGTGCGCTGCGAGTGTGCATGAGCGCTCAGTCTCCAGTAGAGTGCGCGAGCGCTGAATGGTTAAACACTGGCAAGAATGAAAAAGAAATGCAATTTATAAACTTTAGTGATTACGCGACACTGCCTCGATTGTGCAAGTGACGATTCCTGTGTCGACTGTGCAGCGTACAGCTCGCTTATAGTGCAGACGCGATGTGAAGCCGTTTGCGCATTTTATGTTTGAAATGATGTCTCACAGAATGTTTTCAAATTACTTAAGTTATTTAATGAAGAAATATGAATTGTACCTCAACCTTCAGCATTATAATTATTTCACCCGTGCCGGACAGAGACTGAGACGGTGCCGCTGCATGTTGTGCCAAACCTCTCACAGTAGGCGCGTCATCAGCTTGAGCGTTTTTTTGAGTGGTCGGTAGCTGATCAATCGGAGCACCCCTAATAATGATACAAGTCAGGAATATTTACCTACATACTTCTTATTTTATTTATTTATTTATTTATTTATTTATTTTCATAAAATAATCTATTAGAAGACAAATGTGAACAGAAATTTTGTAACGATGAAAATTATTGTTCAGTCTCAGTCTTCAAAATTTATCGCAAAAGTATTGTGAATATTAGGGGTGTTCATTATGTATTTTCTACAAAATCGTAACTGTTGTTGTAACAGTGTGAGTTGCCATTATCGAGTATGTTAATCACTGTTTTTAAAAATTAAGAAAATAGTTCCAAACAAAGCTGGATCAGAACTGTCAAAGGTGTGTTTCTGAGTAAATCATCGGAGTCTTTCAATGACCCTTTTATAAAGATAAGTCACTTGCTTCCTTACTGAATGAGCCAAATGTTTAAAAAAAAAATTGAGTGAATGATTCAGTGACACACTCAATAAGACTGCCAGTTTTAGTTTCATATTTTTAAAAAAATCTATTTTTTCAAATAATTTCCTATTTCATTATTCAAAATGTTATTTTTAATAAATGCATTTATACCTACTCTAATTTGCATAATACAGTTATAAATCTAAAGGTCACTTCGGGCTCCACTTCGCGTCGTGCCTAACAATGCCCCTTAGCTGTTATAAATTCACTGTAAATC